AAAAAAAAAAAAAGGAAAAGGAAAAAGATTCGTCATAGGAGCCGGGGCACGCTGGACCCGATTTCCAGCAGGTGCTGCTCTCTAACATTAGAATGGAGCGCCTGGCCGGACTACTAGGAGGGGATGCTCATACCACCCCCCCATTATAGTAAAAAGGCGGTGTTTTTTTTTTTGGTTAAGATAAGGTTCGTGATAGGTGTACTTCTCGCGATAGACAAGTATTTGATGGGACTCGAAAGAAACAACCTTTTTTTATTTTTATTTTTTTTCCCGAAGGCTAATCTCTCAAGCCAAGCAATTCAATTACCTGCGGGAAAGAAACAATATTCAGCCTCGGGATGAGTCGGACTCTGCCGGTGAGTCTCTGACAAAACAGCACAGCCCGCCGTTGCTTGTCCTTTTCTCTATTTTTGCCCCTTCTTCTTTTCTTTACCCCATGTGTAATCAAGGGTATGACCGCTTGCGCAGAAGATGATACTCAACTGAGAAACGGACGTTAATATGCGTTTCTCATTTAATTAACTTCGATCGGGAAGTGTTCATTCTCGATCCAAGAACGACTGATTAACCAATGACTAGCGATGAAGAAGTGGCATGCTACTACTGTAGTGGGCATACCCGGCGCAGTGAGGGAATCGGATCGCCAGCTCTGCGCGCCTCTAACACGGATTGAAATGCGCACCTGGCGCCGCTGGCGGTACCTTTAGGCACGGATCTCTCTCGCCGAAGGCCACGAGTAAATACAGGGTCCAGGACCTCGCATATATATATATATATATGTATATCTGTTTGACGATATATATATATATATATGTTTGACGATATACATATATGGTCAAACAGAACTGCCCGGTAAACCGTAGGGTCAGAGAGGGAAGGAGAAGAGGATAACAAACGAGGGAGGGCTGTGACAAAATGTTTCGTCGGATTTTTACCTACCGACTCATCATATAATGCACAAAAACAAAAGCATATGCATGTAGGTGGACCGAAATCAGTCCAAGTCCGACAAGGTCGCACGGAGTTTGACGAGAGAGACCGTCATGGTCGGCCTTCGTAACTTAGTTTTCTTTCTTTGTGAGAGGTCACACTTCTGCACCCAGACACATATTACGGAAAAAAAAGAAGTACAGGAACAAGAACAGACGGACAGCAACAAGAAGAATAAGAAAGATGGTGGGCACTGACTGGGCCTGAGAGTTGGAATAGCGTGGCGAACGGCCGTAGCAGCGCGCTAAGCGCTTGGATGACTCGAACTCTGTAAGAAAGACACCTCTTCCTTTGACCAAGAACACACACACACACACCTGTCTCTTATACACATCTAGATGTGTATAAGAGACAGGATCTGATTGATCTGATTATTATGGTAGGAGAACAGAATCTTAGATGTAACGAATCTGATCTGATTTTAAAAAAAAAATTCCCATTATGTCATCA